AGTGGTGGTGTCACATAAAGCCCTCAGACCAATGAAATCATGATCGAATTGTATTTATTATTAACACAAAGTGCTTTCATTTTATGGAGAAAATAGAAGAGAAAACCAAAAGCCCTTAGGGAGAAACTACAGGGGGGGTCCTGATTCCTCAGGGAAGGAGGGGGGAAAGTGATTGAACAACATGCACATGCATAATGTCATGAAACAATGAGATGCCATCTCACCCCAAGGCTGATTATCTGAACAAGCACCTTTACAAACTGCGGCCGACTTTATTCTACACATAATCCGCACGTACCCTCCTGATCCACGTTGCACATGAAGTAGATAATTCCTGGTCATTTTCCCCAGACACTTCAATCTCCTTATTTATCATTGCCGGTTCAGTGATTGCTCATGGCAACAAGAGGCATCACTGGGAGTAATCTGTTCTCTAGGGATTTTGGGGCCATTTCAGAGTGTCATGGCTGACAGACACGGTCGTGGTTATGGTTTTGATAGAAACACTGTTATCACGTCTTGCTGTCTGATGAGAGCTTGAATGAGCCACTCATGGAGGAAATGTGCACTTTGTAAAAGATGGATGGGGGAGGCAGTATTGTTGGCTTTAACCGGACTGCCAACCTGAATACGGCAGTAGGGGTTTCATTTCAATGTATGTTCTTCTCATAATTACAGATCTAGCTGTCCATCCTACATTCATCTTGGCAGATACAGGTCACATATGGGAAATGCACTGTTAACCTATCAACCTCAATTAGTGAGCTTCTGTCTCTTTTATGAGTTTATAACTTTGACAAACAATTCAAATATTTATATGTGTGTGTGTGTATGTGTGTGTGTGTCAGAGAGAGAGAGAGAAAGAGAGAGAGAGAGTGCATATGCATAACTGCTGTTTTTGATGATATTCCTATAGGGCTTAGAAGCGAATTAGTTATACAAGCTGCTTTGGATGCGCTGTTTTTTTTTTTTTTTTTTTAAATTTGAGTAGCATCGTTTAAAAGACTTTGTTGTTGTTCTGTAGATGCGAGAAAAGACCAGCTGCATTACCAGCAGGAAGAGGGTATGCCACTTGTTCAGAGTCTGTTTTTACTCAGTGGAGGAAATTTACAAGCAGAGACAGAGCTTTCATTTTCCTCCAGAGATAATAAAAGCCTGCCTGTTTCAGACGAACCCCAGGGTACAAATGTCAGTTAAAAGCAAACATAGACAATACTGCTATATACCAAAACTAATTACTTGACATTTGCTGTAGTTTATGATGCAGGAAAAGACGGTTTCCATTCTCTTTCAATACTGAAGTTATTGGCAGTTGAGTGAGAGAGGAAATTGTGAATTTACACTTAATGTGTACTTCCTATACTGTATAGTGTCAGTTACATCATAATCCCTGCAGGTGGGAGCGTGTTAATGTTCCCAGGGTCCTATACTCCCTTAGTCTGCTTTCCCTTGTGATATATCTGAAGTCATGGGGTCTAATTGCGACTCTGGGAACAGAGGAATATAGTTGTTTGGGAAATTACATTGAGTAAACAGTAGACTGACGGGACACAGGGCCCTGGAAACGTAGTAATCTGGGAGCATTAGGTGGGCCCCCTCCTGGCAGCCGAGGTCATTGTAATACTTCTCTGTTTCTTGGGTTTAGGATTTGTTTTTTTCACCTCAGTCATGTTTAGCATGACCTAAATGTTTAGCATGACCGAGCTAACATAACCAGTGTTTACCTGTCAGAACAAACATAACAAGAATATTTAGCATGACCAAGCTAACATGACCAGGGTGTTTAGCATGATCTGATTTTATTAGACTAAACAAACAACCTCCTGGAGTCCAAAATGGACACACATGGAAAAGATGGTCTTTTTATGTTTTCACCTGGGTTAGCTTACTGTGATGGGAATCTTTCTCATCCCGACATTCAAGGATTGTTCTGGACACTGCTGGTTTGGTGAGATAAGGGGGATATATTGCTGACTGCTCCATGGCTTCTCAGATAAACCCTACCGGACAATCCGATTTACTGCCTGGTCTCCAGTTTCCCATCTGAATGAGAAGATTCATGTTTGGTGCTTTTAGTAAAACCTGTGTGTCCTCCACATGTGTGGGGCTCGTAGCTATAAATTCAGGATGTACAACCTATTTTTCACCTGATTATCCCATATTAAACCACAACCAGGAAGCCCTGGACATGTGGTCACAACTCATGTGTAGCCTGAAAGTTGTCATAGCGACTGAAAATACCTAGAAAATTCCATTTGTGGCTATGACTACAGACTCAATGCCGCAAACGTGATTTAGTGATAAACTAATGTGTGTATTTTGAAAGCATTTTCTAAACTGAGCAGTAGGGAAAATTCTTTTTCAAGTGCATGGTTGTGTTTTTGAGACATCGATGCTTGTTCCTCAGAAATCCCATACGGTTAATCAAACACTCCACACTAAAATGGATTCCTGAGACACCCGCATCCTAAAAGGGACAGTATGATTATTTTAGATTAGGAGTGGTACATTATTAATCCCTGTAGGGAAATTCTCCCATCTTGCTCTCCATGAAATACAAATGCAGGCGAGAGCGAGCTTGGGGGTCCCCGCAAAGGGACAGCCACCTTGTGGAACCTGGGGAATTAGGGGTTAAGGGCCTGGCTCAAGGGCTAGCAGACATGTGACAATTCTGGCCAGGCCCAATCCAGTGACCCTCCAGTCACATGAATAGAAGCTTAGGCCACTGAGTCACACACCACCCCAAAGAAGAAAACGTCTGGAAAAAGTTTGGCACTAAGTTAGAGTCTATGAAGAGTTTGTCAAGAGTGGTAATTAAAAAGAATGCCGTTGACAATCACTTCAAGCCATATGCTGCAATCAATCGAAGTTATATATATATATATATATATGGTCTGTTCTCAGCTCTGCACTGTTTGTTTGCCTCTGTCATAATAACATTGAGTGCTTAAATAATTAAGAATCCAATTTGGTGAAAACTCATAGTATTTATATCAAATTGGCAATGCTGCATTCATAAGCAAATTTTGCACATCAAATGTAATGTTCGCGGTATTTTTCCTTGGTTCACTTGGGAAAGGGAAGTTTCAAGACTAAATCATCACTTTTATTGTGCGGAGAACATAATGTAGATAAAAGCTGCTCCAATCATGGCTATGAATTATTTACAGTTAACATGGTTCCTGTCATGTGTAGATTTTCTAATTTCAACACAGCCAGAAACCATTCGTGTGATGTTGGTGGGTGAGTGGTTTTGCACAGGTGTTTTATTCTGGCCAATAGGGTGGTCTGAAGTTAGGCTCCGCCCCCTTCAAAAATGATTGGAGCCATTGTTGCTAGGTGGCAGTCACCATAAGAATAATTAGCACTGGACCATGTTGGGGCATCTATGCTGAGAGGCTGAGCCCCGGCCTACGTTAGATAGCCATTGTTAGGTAGAGAAACACAGGGTGACTAGTGTTGTTACAGGAGACCAATATTCTTTCGATGAATTAATTGACAGAGACGGTTACAGGTGATTTATTTCCTCTAAGAGACACTGAAAAAGTCACATGGTTCATGAGGATTCTTCTCTGAACAACAGTCAGACGGTGGCACATATTACTAAGAGCCACGTGGCATGCAAACTGAGTCTAGCAGTTTAAATCTTCCATGAGAAAATAAATGATGAGCCATATGTTATTTATAGAAGCGAGTACAGTAAATATGAGTGACCGTCACAGTCAGTGTTTTTACTTTGAAATAAATCAGGGGGTGATGTGCGTATTCATACGTTTAATAGTCCTCTGCTTGTACAAAAATGAAGAGTAAAAAACATAACAGAAATAATAGCTCCAAACTGATGCAAGAAAAAAGCATATAGAGCTCAAACATATTCAAAGCCAAAACGTACATTTACAACTAGCCAGCTTTTTATAAAACAATAGACACACAATCATCCTTTATTTATAATTAAATACCGCAAATATTTCATTTTAATCGTAATATAAAATCCTGCTTATGTAAAACTTAACAGTACGACCTGAAGAGGAGAGGTTACTGTCAGGACGGGAGGTATCCTGAGGATTGTGTGTTGATGGCTGTCTCTCTGAGCTGCAGCTTCCCAGTGCGGCTTCCCAGTGCGGTTTCGCAGTGCGGCTTCCCAGTGCGGCTGCCTGGCAGCCCCTGTTCCCAGGGACATTCTGCCCCCACACTGGATCAAATGTACGTATGAGATTAACGTCTCCAGGGTATTTGTTTAGGAGTCTCATGACTTCAGCTCACATCTATGTCACACTATATTATAGCTTTCAGCTTAGGCCACTATAGTCATTAAGCTATTATTAACATTATTATCGTTAACAGGGAAGTGTAATCTATGCTTTCACAGGGTCAGATACACCCTGGAGTTCAACTGCTAGCCATTTACAATCACGGTTCCCTGAAAGAGCAGGTCTTCAGACCATGGGAAGCCAACAGAGGACCTATAAGGAGAACCTGCATACAGTAAGAAGGGGCAGGCTGTCCCCCCAACCAACCCCCCGCCCCAGAGCAGGTGGGGGCGAGTGCAATAGTGCTATCCAATCAGCCACAGTTTTGGTGTTTGGTTAGTTTAGTGTTAGAACATCAACCTGAATGGAAATGTACCTCGACGTTTAGCACATCTGAGGAACAGCATGTGAGACCTGAGCTTCCTAATCAACATGTCAAGTGCTTCGGTTTGTTGCTATCGCCGTCACCTAGCAACTCAGGCCATCCTTTCTAAGTCCCGCCCCCCGCCTCCATCTTGCATGACACTTCTCTTTGGACGTTCCTCACAGGAAACAGCATCCCGATTGGCCAGAAACAGGAATGATGTTTTCCTGCTCTCTGGGTAACTGAGGATGTCTCGGAGCTCATGGTGAGGCAGGGCTGCATGGAATCCTTCGGGGTTCTAGGATTGCAGGGCTGTTGGCGTCAAGCTGACCGGAGTCCAAGACGCTGGTGATGGGGGGGAGGGGGTTGCGGGATGAGGCCCGGCACCCTGGGGGGTGGGGGGGGGGGGGGGTGCTTCTTAGTGAGGGCACTTCCGCAGGAGTCTGGAAGCGATAGTGTTCACGGCACGCATGGTCTCGGTGCAGGTGGGCCTGATCAGGGACTCGGGCAGCAGGAAGCCGTAATGCCCCGTGTCCCGCAGCTCAAAGGCGAAGGCGTATGGGATTCCGTTCCTGTAGGCCCAGTCCATGGAGCTCCCCGAGCTCACGTCTGTGAGGGACACATCATGCCTCGGTCAGTCACCACGGAGCAAAACGCCCAACACTGCAATGGAATGTGAGGTCTGTACATGGGACTTACAGAGGGTGGTGGACGCAGGACCGTATCTGTACCTCTCCCTGTAGGCCGAGTACAGGGCCATGACGGCCTTGTGAGCGGTGTCTTCCTGTAACACACATTTACACACGTTACGGGGGACGCGTCAGAAGCCGGGCGGGTTAAGGCAGGGTGTTAGGGGGCGGACTGGAAGCTGGGCAGGTTATAGTGGTGGGTTTACACAGGGTTTTATGGGAGCAGCCTTGGCATTAAGCCGACTGGTTGTTACATGCAGCTCCACGGAGGAGGTCTCACCACGCAGCTGAAATTGGGGATGGTGGCGTATTTGTAGGAATACGGGTAGAGCAGCATCTGCGCATATGCATGGATGGAGATGTAGGCCTTGATCCGCTTCCTATGCTTGCGCAGAAACTTGGCGACGGCCTTCACCTCGGGCTCCGACTCCGGGTAGGGCCCACAGTAGGTGTCGTCACATGGGTGTGATGAAGCCCCCTCATCTGCAGGGGGCAGCAGAGAGTAGAACATTTGTGCCTGGGAACCTCTGTGTGAGCTGCTGTAGGTAAATGGGTCAAGGACAAATATCACACATGGTACATTTCCTATCAGTTCAATTTTTAATGGTTAAAATTGAATCACTCACACCATAATCCTGGCAATAAAAACAAAAATATATACAAAATCCCTATATCAGAGTTAAAGATGTCAACGTGTCACTAAATCCCAATAAATGGGGATAAACAACTATATTTTATTTTATTTGTTTGCATTTCATTTCATGTGCACTGTGATGGATTGGCATGCTATCCAAGTTGCATTCCAGCATGGGATAGGGTGAAGTCTCCCTGCCAGCAGCGAAAAGATAGATAGATAGATAGATAGATAGATAGATAGATAGATAGATAGATAGATAGATAGATAGATAGATAGATAGATAGATGGACGAGAATATAAATTACATTTGTAATACACAGTCCGTGGTCCATGGCTACAGGTACATTATAAAGAATGAATGTGCATCAGTCTAAGGATTAAGCAGGGTGTGCAGATTCAGGGTGTGCAGATTCAGGGTGTGCAGATTCAGGGTGTGCAGATTCAGGGTGTGCAGTAGGGTGGGGTGAAAAAAAAATTAAAATTTCCATTAGCATTTTCCAATAGTGTGGAAAAGTTGTCACTAGACCTCGTTATTAAACGTGCAAAATATCTTTGAAATAGGTTAATATTTTCTTTTTTTTTCTTCCTTTTTTTTCTCTTTTTTTATTGCCCACCACCACCCCCCCTCTTCGGAGGACAACTTTATTTTACATTTAATTAAAGGTACAGTGTAAAGAGTGTGGCCGCTCCGAACTCACCCGTCCTAGTACCGTGATTATAAAAAAAAAGAATAAGGGGGGGGGGGGGGCACAGGAACAACAATCGTAACAATAACAGACATTAATCACCATGGGGAGAGGGGGAGAGAAAGAACAAAGGTATACAGAAATAATAATAAGAATAATACTAAAGGTGGGATGGAGAAAACAAAGTGTAGGGGAATACAGAATACAAACAACCATAAGAAACATAGCACATCAAACAACAAAAATGATAACAACAACAATATCAACAACAACAACAATATCAATAATAATAATAATGTTGCAAATAGGTATTATATATATGTAGCATACACATACGTGATCCTACACATATACATGTATATTTCAATTCCTATATCTATAACATACGCTAAAAATAAATAATAATAATGTTACTGATCGCTCAACCTCCTATGCGCCCATTCTTGTATGTGCAAGTGTAGGTGTGAACTCATTTGTCATTGTATGTGCTGGCATTTGATGCCGTCAGGGGACGTGACAGAGCCCCCACCCCTGGGCCCAAGGCGAAGGCAGGGGGAACCAGGCAACCAAGGCCACCCCACCGCCCCCACGGCATAAGGGCCCATGGCCACGCGTCCCCAAGACAACCACCCGCCCAACCTGAGAGGAAGCCCGCGAGGGACTAAGGGGGCACCAACCCCCGTACAGGGAGGCCCGCAGAGGGGGATGGGCGGCAAGCCTCCCAGTACCACCCGCAACCCCCCCACCGAGGAAAGCGGGTCCAGGGCCGAAGGGCCCCATCAACTGGGATTTTTATTCACCCCACCCTAACGTGCAGCGTGCATGTATGATGAAGGATGCGTACTGTGAGCCCGTGCAGCATGCATATATGACAAAGGATGCGTACTGTGAGCCCGTGCAGCGTGCATGTATGACGAAGGATGCGTACTGTGAACCCATGCAGCGGGCATGTATGACGAAGGATGTGTACTGTGAGCCCATGCAACGTGCATGTATGACAAAGGATGTGTGCTGTGAGCCCATGCAGCGGGCATGTATGACAAAGGATGTGTGCTGTGAGCCCATGAAGCGTGCATGTATGACGAAGGATGTGTACTGTGAGCCCATGCAGCGGGCATGTATGACGAAGGATGTGTGCTGTGAGCCCATGCAACGTGCATGTATGACAAAGGATGTGTGCTGTGAGCCCATGCAGCGTGCATGTATGACGAAGGATGTGTGCTGTGAGCCCATGCAGCAGGCATGTATGACGAAGGATGTGTGCTGTGAGCCCATGAAGCGTGCATGTATGACGAAGGATGTGTACTGTGAGCCCATGAAGCGTGCATGTATGACGAAGGATGTGTACTGTGAGCCTATGCAGCGTACATGTATGACGAAGGATGTGTACTGTGAGCCTATGCAGCGTACATGTATGACGAAGGATGTGTACTGTGAGCCTATGCAGCGGGCATGTATGACGAAGGATGTGTACTGTGAGCCTATGCAGCGGGCATGTATGACGAAGGATGTGTACTGTGAGCCCAGCATCTGCAGCTTCTAAGCACAGGACCCTTGAGCAGGACCGCAAGCTGATAAAACGTGATTATAAAAAGCTATCACGCTCATTAATGATCGGCAACAGCAGTGATAATCTTCGCAGTAATTACCGAAACGATTCTTTGTCAATGTGCTGCAGTGTGTGGTGTCAGTGTACGGGTCACAGTTACGTGCTTATCACCAGTAATTAGTGTTGGCCGCTAACACGGGTGCTGAGCTCCAGAACAATCCCCCTGGGGGGTCCCACAGCGGCCCAGACCAAGTAACATATCCAAGTAACATATCCCCCCCCCACCCCGCTTCCCCCCCAGAGGGGTGGGCTTATTGCTGTTTACATTGGACTGGACGTGTGGAATGAGAGAGCCACAGAGAGCCTGCAGGCTGGCTTCACAAAGCTGTTGGTGATGCACAGAGTCCAGGCAAGAAACCACACGCCTGTCGACAAATCTGAGGGATCAGTAACTGAGGTCATGCTGCTGACTTTGTGTTTCTGCACTGACTTAAGGAACCATCACATGACCAAAAATTACTTAGGCTGGACAGCACACAGAAATAAGGAATCAGTGCCCCGGGAATCTCTCTCAGCAAGATGGACAGTCCTCACAACCCCGGGAAAATCTCTCAGCATGATGGACAGTGTTCACACCCCCCGGGAATCTCTCTCATACCTACCACACCACTTGACTCTCCAGTTCCGGTTGATGTCCACACCCCAGCACTTGAACCTGCCATTTTTTGACCGTGTTTTCCTCCAAAAGCGGTCCTGGCAGGCAAAAAGAGGAAAACACAGGCAGCAAAATGAATTATTGAGAGCCAGGTAATTACGAAAGTGTGTGTCTATTACCTTCTCAAAAACGTTGGGTTAATTCGGATAAAAAAAAAAAAAAATAAATAAAAAAAACTCCACATCCAGTGCAGGATTGTGTATCTGCAGTGCTGGCCATTTTCTTTACACAGTGAAGGTCACATGACACCATGTTACAGCTGCAGCCAATCAGATGGGCACTAGGGCAGTAACACAACAGTAAGCTGAGGTCACCTTAATATCTGCTCACACTGCCCACAAAACAGCTTACAGATCCCTACATGTGAATGCAAGTAGTATATTCTACAGACAGAAAAGAGACCCTTAGAATATGGACCTTGGGAATCAGGAAAGCAAAATGGCTGACATAACCAGGAGACACCATGTGAAGCCGTGAGAACCAGGTTTGCCTCTCTGACACATTCATACTCCCAATGCAGTAAATGACGGGCAGATTGACAAGCTCCACCCCCAAGCCTGACCCCCCCGGCACATCCATGCCACCACCACCCCCCCCCATTCCTATGGACTAAGGAAGGAAGATTGGGGCGTGAGGAAACTTCACTGTTGTCCAGCTGAAGACGTATCCATCCACGTTGAAGACAGGCATCACGTAGAAGCTCAGCTGGGTCAGCAGCCTTCGCATGTGGTAAGAGGTCAGGGCCTGAAACCAGACGATTCATGTTCAGAAATCACTGCTGAAATTGACACAACTGCATTGGCTGAAGCTGCTCTGTAGGCGCCATTACCTGTGTGATGCTGACCAGGCATCAAAATCACGGTCATTACGGTTATACCCTTTTCGAATACAGGTGGCTCTCGAGTTACGTAAGACCAACTTAATATCCATAATATCCGAGACACACACGAGTTTACAATGCAAAAAGTTGGCATATACCTGTTAGTAAATTTACACTTCTCATTTATTTAATGTGTGTTCTTTAATTTGTTTTATATGTTTTTGCTATAAGGTGTTTTCAGTGGTATGGGCAGCTAAATCTAACACGTAAAATTTCACAAACGGAAGGATATGTGGATCGGATCACTTGCCCCTGTCTGCTTATGTATAACGTCAGTTAGTAAATATCTGCCCAGGAGCACAGTGGTACTGTCTGTTTAAGTGTGTCCCGAACGCACAGACTAAAAAGGGCTTGCAGAGTGTCCCAAACGCAGGAGCAAACACAGGGACAGCGGGCACGCCTGAGAGCTCATTAAGGCCTTTTTATAAAAAAAGTGGCACTCATGTGAGCAGACACCCCCCCACCCCCCGGGATGCCCTGAATGACACAGCTGAGAAGCAAGCTCGCTGAAGTGTGACTGAGACAGCGTCCCCCGCTTCCGCCTCACACGGAGGGGGCGCCACGCTGAGGATTACACTCCACGCTTCACAGCCTAATATGCAGCAGCGGTCAAGGCGAGACGCTCATAGGTTTCTGTTCAGTCTGCGACAAAGCCGCAGACAATAAGGACAACAGCTAGCGTTTGCTCTTATGAAAGGCGAAATCCGGCCGGGCTGCAGCACATTTAATCAACTGTGACACTGAATTTCCATTCCTGTGGGATATTAATTAACATCTATGCTATGCAGTGCCAAAGAATAGGATTAGAGAAAAGCAGATTTTACTGTAGTAAGACCCGGCCTCTAACTAGACTCGACGGTAATCTGCCTTTCAAAAGTGTTGGTGTTCCACCACACTGTGGTGGGTCTGGGGTACTGCACCTTTCAGAACTGACCTTAGTTTACAGGGAGCTTCACCTATATGTGTTTGTTTGGTGCAGCAACAGAAAACCTTTTAAGACATGATATATTTGACAGGTGATTTGTGTGCTAGACCAGTGATTGTCAACCAGGGGGCTGCGATCCACTAGGGGGCCCCAGCGAGGACCGAAGAGGGCCACTCAATTTGACCACTCAAAAAAGCGTAGAGAAAAGTACAACATTGCTATCATTATATATTATTAAAACGAGATATAGGATTACACAATACCATTTATATTGATGTACATTTAATATGCATTAAAATTTATGACAGATAGATAGATAGATAGATAGATAGATAGATAGATGGATGGATGGATGGATGTACGAGAATATTAATTACATTTGTAATACATAGTCCGTGGTCCACGGCTCCAGGTATATTATAAAGAATAAATGTGCATCAGTCTAATAATTAAGCAGATTAAACAAAAAAAAACTAGTATTCCTTCTGGGTTGTAAACAGCGCGAGAGAATCAGTCGTCACACAGAATCCCAGAATCCACAGCAAAAAAATCAAACCATTCGATTAGCAGCCTCTGACAACAATCATTGTTACTTGGTTCATTTTGTTTTAATACATTGTTAAAAATATTGTAATTTGCAATACTTGATTTATTTTGTTAAAGGCTAACATCTTAAAATGATTATTAAGCACAAAGTTAATGGCTGTGATGTTCTGATGTTCAGACTTCTGATGTTAGAGCCATTTGCCAAATAGGTTTTAGATTTAGTTTTTTTGTTCGTAAAAAATTCACCTTCTGGATTAAGAACGATGGCATTAAGTAAGAAAAAAGAAGAGCGTTGTTGGACATAGTGAAGTGAAACATTATTTGAATCATGCTGAAAAGAAATTACATTGTTTAGCAGTGTAAACAAATTAAAATATGTTTATATTAATAAACATTAGCAAGTTTTGTCATCATTGCAGAACGCATGCAAGAGAAACAACATCATAACCTGTGTAAAGGCGCACAAATGTTTTCATTGGGTAAAAAAAGGCAGAGAACCATTGTGTTAGATGATGGTTTGTATGAATTTACAGAGGAACCGGGCTGGGATGTGACGACTTTGTCGGACCACATATCCTCTGGGGGGCTTTTAACCTGGATTTAACATTATTTCACAGCTTCACCGATGGTCGTATCTAGAGCGGATCATACCCATGAATTCACCTCCTCCATCATGCCCCTTGCAAAAGCAGGTTCCCTGGACGCTGAGTCCCTGTATGGAAGCAGCAGTTCTGACCCGGCTGCTCAAAGCCAATCTGATGGCCAACGCAGCAGGAGAGGCACCTACTTCTCGCACGAACCACTGGCAGAACGCGGGTCCGATCCACTCCCGGGCGTGAGCGCCGCAGTCGATCCACACCGCCTTCTTGCGAGGCTGCGCTCTCTTCCCCAGCTGCCGCGGGACACATCTTTCCTTTATTTACTTCATTATTTCCCTTATGTTCCACAGCAGGCATTTCATTAGCTCGCTATGCTACACTGTTCATTTCTAAAATAATTTTACGTGCCATACCTCATTGTAAAGAGGTTACTCAAAGCCCTGTGGGAATAAGATGCATTCTTACTGTTGTACTTGTATCTATCAATCTACTGACAGTGAATCAGGTGCCCCCGCCCCCCCTTCACCCCATACCTGGAGAACATAGAGAGGCCTCCCCTCAAATGACCTTCCGATGGAAAACATGTGCACCAGATGTGGGTGTGTCCTGTTCATCTCAAACATCCAGTTCTGAATCTGCGGGGAGAAGAGTCACAGCTTACAGACACTCCACTGGGTCAGTTGCCTGTTTAGACACTTACAGGCCAGTTCTGTCTGCAATGTGACATATAAGTACTCAGAAATCAGTACTGTACTCTGAAATAAGAGGTATGAATACTGTACTCTAAAATATGGGTTGTAAGTACTCTATTCTAAAACATGGCCTGTGAGTACTCCACTCTGAAATATGAGTAGTTTACTCTGAATATGGGCTATGAGTACTACATTTTGAAATATGTGCACTGAAATATGAGATATGTGTGCTTTACTCAAAAAAATGAGATGCGAGTACTTTACTCTGAAATATGCGCAGTGAGCAAACACAGCTGACCTACAAAATCACGACGGTGACAATGGCTTTAATGGTTGTTTGTGAAAAGTGCAGAGACAACCCTTTCTAACCCTTCTGATTTAACTTCTGTAACTGCACTCATGGCCCAGCAAGGGTCAGCAGATGAAAAGTGGCATGGATACCTCCTCCAGGGGATGATACACCTCATAATTGTGCTGGAATTCTGATCTGCGTGACCTTGAAGACCGTGATCCTGATTGGTTTTCAACTTCCATCTGGAGATTAGAGATGAGGACCCTGGAATAGAACAAGAAAAGGCCGATACCCAGCAGTCTGTGGTAGATTAAGAGCGCCCCCCTCCTGTCCCATGGGGCCATCAGTTGGGGGCTTGTCTGATTGCAGGCCTGGAGACCTCAGGCGCTGGGTGATATTCCATACATACCTGAAACCTGTCTATTCAGATCCAAGGATAGAGAACCTTTAAGAACCCTTAAGAGGTTCTGTGTGCATTCTTTATTTTATTACTGCCTGTCATTACTGAGCATTCCTCCATGCTTACTGCGGGCCGGTGGCTGTGAGTGTGACAGAGCTCACCTTGAGACGATTCTGAAGATTCAGGGGACGTAAAGACAGTGATGTTTTATGACTCGTGGGTTAGCGTACAATTCTTTGCAAGGAGTGAATTATCCTGCTGCTTTTCGACCCTCTGCATGTCTCACTTCGTGACCTCGGTGTGGAGCAGCCTGACAGCATGTCACAGACACCCCCCCCCCCACACACACACACACACAGGCATCCTGTAATCACACCCTCCTTCTAACTATAACCTCTGTGACCGTTCAATGCCCCAGCCTCCTTAATAATAACCACCCTCACTGACAGCACCTGTACTCTGAGCAGCCCCGAGCTGCCCCCCCCCCCCCCCCGGGTAAGTCTCAGCCACCGAGTGCTGTGAGCTTTACCCCCGTGTGGTTTACACTTTTACTAGCATGTAAATCACAGGGATTAAACTTGAAGCTGAAGCAGAAAAACAGAGCAGAAACACCCAGAAGCTGGTGTCTTCCCCCATTACTCAGTAACGACAGTGAAAGATGAGACAGTCCTGCATGTACCGGGGTGGGGGATGGGGTGCAGTTTGGGGTACCTGTGGCCGATGTGCGCCCCCCGCAGACGGCCCTTCAGCTCCTGTGCTGCACCTCGACCCACATGCACATCCACGGCGCCGTCCTGGCGAATGAGAGACGCGGCGTTGGGCTGCCAGAGGTCTGCCTGTCGGCAAAGGAAGACCGGGCAATGCAGGGACACCTTACAGACCTGCCTTTTTGCAGAGAAGATGTGTCAACTGCATTTAAGGCTTTGTCGATACTACACTGCACCCTACAGAAGCATGCAGAAGATGGATGTATAGAGAAAGGTATACATGAACTGAAAGTGTGCTTGTTGCTTTGTAGATATCATAGGCCTGGAGCATCTTGGGGGGGGGGGGGGTTGCCCGAAAATCAATTGGTGCTGTAAGCATGGGATTCAAACCAATAACCTTCTGATCACAGGTACAGAAGCCTAACCTGCAGAACCACACACCATCACGTAGATGCTCCTACCGCTATTAATAAGCGTAGTGAACACATGGAGGTCCTCCATGGCTTCTGATAATCAGCCGCCTTAAATCACATAAAGCTATTCGCCTTCTACATGCACACCATGGCATGACTGGTACGAGAAGGTAATCACTATTCTGCCCACCATGTGACCTGCCTTTCCCAGGTGCTGTTTGTTTAGGCTCTCAGCCAGCAGTGCTGGCTCAGCTTCTGCCCTTTTTGGCGCCTCTGATTGGAGGGGATGTGGCCTGGCAGGACCCCCGCTGCCGCGGTGGGTAACTGCTGAGTATACAGCCACTGCTAATGGCCCACAAATCAGAGCCTGGCCAGCAGCTTACCCAGAATGCTCGCAGTTCGCTGCACCGTGCAGAGCTGCCCCTTTCACGCCCACCACGGCTCTGCCGAGGTTCAGGTCCCTGCGTCTCATTTACAGAAGCACAATGGACCAGTTGCTTTATGTATTTTTCTGATGAATGACCTGAAATGGGTCTTATGCAGTTGGGGATCCCAGCTGTTGACTATTCCACCAGTCGTGCTACAGTGCGTTCCTGAAAAACCTCACGTTCACTAAAATATATATATCCAGTGGGAAAAATAGGGCAGGGGGAATGTAATTCCAAAACTTAGGCCAAAGAAAATTAATTAGGTAATAAAAACAGTCATATAAGTGGCCAATAAGTTAATTATGCATTTTAAATAAGAAATAATAATAATACATTAATAAATTGCATCATATTTCCTATGGGCAAAATAAAAAGTAACTCCCAAACTTTGTAAGGTACGCACAATGACAATGTAATAAAAATTTAAACGGTGATAACAGGGGACAATAATAAATGTAATAATAATAATAATAATAATAATAATAATAAACTAGCTTTGTGCTTTTAAGTTAATTTGTCAAATATTTTTAGATTTTTTAGAATATAAGACTTTGACCTGTGCAGTGCATGGGTGTACAGAAAGTTCGATTCTTTTAGATTTGAAACTGGTTCGACTGATTCACTGAAAAGAACTGGTTCAAAAGAACGGTTCATTCACAAATCGTACATCATTCACTTCAATAGCTGTTTTTGTATAAATAGTGTTTCTCTCTAAGACCTTATTGCATAAAATGTGAAATGCAGTTTGCGCAGTGCTTTTCTCTCCAGCTGAAAATTGCCAAAAATGCAAATGTGATTCTGAATTGGACTTCTGTAGTAATATATCAATCGCATTAGAACAGATTCACAGTGTGATATCATGTGTTCCAGCTGGACTAACTGTACATACTTTCAAGCCGTGCCTGTTTTTTGAAAAAAAGGTTAAACGTATTAAATTTAAATAGATTTGTCAAAATGGACAAATTTTACAGTTATCAAAGGATTGGGAACACCTATTATACAGAATACCTTTACTGCGCAATTCTGTTCAGATCCAGCTTAGTTGTGCGTGCTCAGGTTCTGTTCAGATCCAGCTTAGGTGTGCGTGCTCAGGTTCTGTTCAGATCCAGCTTAGTTGTGCGTGCTCAGGTTCTGTTCAGATCCAGCTTAGGTGTGCGTGCTCAGGTTCTGATCAGATCCAGCTTAGTTGTGCGTGCTCAGGTCCTTTGATGCTGGCAGCTACCTGTGTGTGATGCCCCGTTTCACAGGGTGATATCGTGATGTTTTCACGCAAGACAGAGCATAGCTCAGAGAGAGGTGAGCACGTTCTTTCAGCATGGGGCACTGACGCTCTCCAGAAGAATCGGGCAGGAACCGTTTACTTGGGTGATAAATGATCTTCAGACGGAACCATTTTCAAAGCTGGATGTGATATACTGAACAAATGCAGAGGGAAGTCATTCTCAAAACACATCTGTTTCTGTCACAAAAAGAAAAAAAACAGACACGAAAGGAGAATTGGTGCATTTAAAGGGATCAGTGTGCAGATGACGACCAGCCCTTTGAAGGTCCATTTAACAGGCTGCTGAGGGTTATAAACACGCAAGAGTCCATTTGGCTCCATTCCAGTCCTAATGTAACCAGAGTACCGGGAAGCCAGCATGGTAACTGCTGCATTCTCATGTTGGAAAAGCCTCACGGTCTGACAGAAATATGTGAGAGGCTTTGAAGACCCTATAATGTATGGAGCGATGGACCAGCAGCATTCCTCCAGAGCATTACGGCTACACTGGGCCGAAAGGCAAGACCTGACAAGAGAAACTAGGAAATCCAGTGAACTTATGCTTGCACCATCATGCTCGATCATCTGGCTCATCTGCTCGGGGTTTCCTCTACAGGTGTCCAAAATGTTTGTCGAAAAGTAAACCATTTTCTGCTTATTAAGTTTCTTTTGCTCCTGATTTCCCCTGTTTTTCTGAAATGGCTGGGTAATATTGTCTAGGGAAAGGCAGGTCCAGGAAGCTCTGCTGGTCTGCAAAGCTGGAACATAGCAAGCCATCCAGGGTAGGAGACAGTCATGCTTCAGTAATCAGGCAGGTCACATGACCATCACTCCACAAGCCTGACCTGGCAGGAAGGGCATCTCCGCAACGTGGGCCGGTTATCATGGTGGAAAACCTGCTTCCTTTAGTGGCACATAAACACAGCTCACGTTAATGATGAAATGAATTAATAAAGGAACCTTTATTTGCACAAGTACATTGGAATGCTTCTCTTCACATACCCAATCATGCTCTTCTTTGACATACACATACATTTGAGAAGAAAGCTTGGGGTCTGAATATATATCTGATGTCCCTAGAACTTTCTGTGAGGCTAACAGCCTTGCTAATGGGCCAAACAGAGAAGTAACTATTCTTGTGAGTCTCGAACCAGCAACTTGCTGATGATAGATATGGAGGTGCACACCGCTGCCCGATGGTTGGCACAGGGAATGTAACATGTCTGAGCAGAGACATGGAGCTGATCTGAAGACAGCTTTCAGCAGTAGGAGGGTGAGCAGATAGCAGGAGCAAAAGCTCGCTCACGTGTTCCTGCTTGTAACTCCTCGGTGGAGTCTTGCAGACTGTGACCCTGTCAGAGCACGTGGTCTGGGGCCGACGCCACTGGCTCCGGGGTTTGGAACCAGCCACAGCTGCTCCTCATCACACAGGAGTAACCTGCAAACTGGCCGACATGCCCGTGACAAGGAGAACGGGGCTAAGGCCTCACAGAGGATCATGTGGAGATCTGAGAGAGGCGCCATCTGGATGGGGTCTCACTGGACCCTCCAGGGATGGGGACCCAGTCAGAACGGAGGGAGTACCGGGTCAGGCCAGGTCTGCACCTCCAGGTCGCTGAGTCCCGTTTTACAGAAGTTCACCGAACAACATGGGAACAAATAAAGAAAAACGCCATAACCACTAAATGGAAAGAGAAAAGCATATCCCGCTCAAATGGCATCACATAATAGAACAGGCACAGACAGCGGTGGGGGTGTGTGATCAGTGGGTTAGGATCCTACGTATATGATCAGAAGGTCACTGGTTCAAATCCCTTTGTTGGCAGTGTGTTTTCACCATTGGGCTTTTCTTCAAGGCCCTTAACCCCCATTTCTTCCAGGACTGACTGATGAAATGAGATCCTCCTTTGGAGCTTTGTGTGCGAGGGGTGGTGCCCAGCATAGTCCCCTGTTTACAATGTCAACATTGCTGGTTTGCGTCCCAGCCGGGCCGTCCGGCTAAACTCTAGCAGCTGGAGCAGAATATCCCGTATGAAACCTTAGCTCTAATAAAATGAGAATGGACTCCCAGCCCCGATCCTGCAGAGCTCTGCAAGCTCCTTACATTCAGGCACTGATCCAGGGGCCGTCTGAAGCTGCTTGTAAGGTCTCTGACAGTCTGTGCTTTACACAGTGATGGAAAACCTGTAAAATGGTTGAGCGGAGTGGAATAAAGCTGCTTGGATATAGCATTTCACATGCTGTAGAAATCCTGGAGCATACACTGGAATATCTTGAGTGCAGTGCTTGCCCTCTCTGCTATTGGAGAGATAACATCCTGTCACAGTGGCACGTCATTAAGCAGGCAGTGATCTCACAGTGGCACGTCATTAAGCAGGCAGTGATCTCACAGTGGCACGTCATTAAGCAGGCAGTGATCTCAGAATGGCATGTCATTAAGCAGGCAGTCTGTAACCTGTGGTATCTTTGATTTAATTGAATTAAATTTATTTTTATATAGCGTCATTCACAACAGAGTTGCCCCAAGGCGCTTGACAAGGGCGTGTTGAAATCCATCATAATATCATTTATACAAATGGAAAGAAAGACTGGATGGTCTCTAGAAGGGATCACTGTATGGTATCATTATATGATATCTAACAGGCATCACTCTATTATTTCACTGGAGATTCCCTTAGAGATGTTGCTGTATGGTTTCACTATATGGTAGCTATGGAAGTAAAGCTTTATTTTCCATTTGTAATAGTACATTGGAGTCCGGGGTCTGAGCACAGGGTCAGCCAGGGTACAGTGACCCTGGAGCAATCGCTCAAGGGCCCAACAGCTGCATCAGTCCGACATCCAGGGGATTCAAACCGACGCCTTTGACGGGCACAGAGTCCGGAGCCTCCGAGCCACACCCCAAGGCAGTGTTCTGACCTCTCACACCTCCAAGGCGCCTCTGTGAATATGAGTCACTGAGCTCCCGCACACTCAGCTTCCAAAATCCACCTTGGAACGGTTTTCTCTACAGACGTTATTATGAATTGGAAATGAAATATATAACCGCCAAATGGCTCCCAAGCAGGACATAAATCACATTTATCTGTCAGGTCTATAAATTTCCAGCAGAGTCAAAAGTTGAAAGAGTCACTTGATCTGTGTTAGATTAATATCTGGAGGACACGCATCAATCTGCATGAGTCATTTCTCATCTTGTGCCTCCTGCGGTTTCTTACCTACATATGAGCTACCAGAGGCCTGCAGAATCCCCCTCACCCAGCTCAGCTACCGCTCTGTCCTACAGAACAAGCTACGGTACCAGGGCACGCCGAAGCACCATGCCGTACACGTGTGTGTGCCTGCCCTCACTCTGCCAACTCTGCAGTTGACTGGATCCCATATCCAGCTGGACTTCACTAAATATTGACAGTAGCTCAGCAGAAGCTCAGTGCTCTGAGGATGAAGAGCGTTAAACACGACTGTATGCAGGAAACTTACCCTCAGGTTTTCGAAAAGCCTCCTGAGAAACTGCACCTCCTCATAGCTGTGGGGGATCATTCTGATCACCTGGTCACTGCAGAGGAAAGACAGACTTCAGTTAAGGAGAAGTGTAAAGTGAATACATGAATGGAAGCATGACTTGCATAGAGTGAGCCTGCAGAAAGTGACCCTACAGAGAGTGACTCTGCGGAGAGTGAGCCTGCAGAGAGTGACTCTGCGGAGAGTGAGCCTGCAGAGAGTGACCCTGTAGAAAGTGACTCTCACGGTTGCACAGAGAATCTGGCCTCCACACCACAGAGGACATAATCGAGCCCTTGAAAGAGGAGCTTAAAACCTGAGCTTGGGTGAGACGCAGCTCACTGCTTTAGTCAAGAAGGCAACAGTAAATGATGGTGATTATGTGAACCATTAGCAGCCCACTGAAATGGCAGTTTACTTACCCCTAGATACCATTAGAAAACTAAAACAGCCTTTACAAAGAAACTCTATTTATTTCCAGCAGGGTAATATTTCTTGCTAAACTTTCATTATTCTTTTGTTATATACCCATCTTTTGACAGAGTATGCAGACAGATTTCTGGAGTGGAAAAGAATATATTTAAGCCAGCTGGGAGACTTGGCCAAGAGAATAAGACGCGCAGTGACCCTTTTTGACGTAACAGCTGTTGCTATAGTTAAATTTAACAGCAGTTGCTATGATTAAATTAAAGTCAGCAGTTTCAGAATACTAAATAAAGATGATGCCGCAAATCAAAAATCTACAGCTGGTTTAATTGTCATCATTTTTCTGTATGCACCTTCATCCAAATGGATTTTTAAAAGTAAAGTTTGCTCATTTATACAACTTGCAACTTGCAGAAGCAATTAAAGACACCAATTAGGGGAACAGTGACGGTTTATCTGTGGATTAAGTTCCCCATTTAGTGGAATAGAGACACTTTATCCGTAAGACACATTGACAGACTGGCAGACAGACTTCATGAATCCCCACAGGGAAGGTAAAACTGCCTTCTGTGTTGAAGTGACCGCTTTTATGTCTTTCAGGATAATTAGCCTACTTCGTTTATGAAGGCTATTCAGGACAGCGGCTCCTGGCTACCTGCATTCCCCCTTTGTGAGCTGCATGGGCGGCTGTGGCTGCACACACTGTGCGTACCCTTCTTTTATTTTATGGCCAATGTTATGTTAATATAATTTTATTTATTTAATTTTTTTGCCCCGTTATGTCTGCAACTGAAGTGTAAAAAGAGCAGCGGGGCTGCACGATTCTGGGGAAAATATGAATAGCGATGTTATTCACTCAAAATCAAGATCGCGATTTTCTCTCACAATTCCTATTTTTAATTCCTATTTGTCCTTTTGTTATAATTTTTCATTACTGTCTTTACTAAAACAAACAAAATGTAGAGATGCACGATATATCAGTTAACACACGAGAATTGCTGGCCGATATTTAAACTTACCAAATATTATAGGGTGACCATATATTGCTTTGCAAAAAAAGGAGACAGGACGCAAAGAGAGGCGTCAAAGCAATATAAGCGCACATTAAGTGTGCTGACTGTAGGAAGTAAATGGTAGCGTTCTGTCATAACATCCAACCTATCGAGACGCGCTATCGAGCCTTTCTGCGCATGTGCAGTTCCACCGTCTTCGGATTAGGGTTAGGTTAGGGGTTCAGTGTTGGAGATATTAGACAAAAATATATCAATTACTGGTTAAAATGTCCACATCAGTGCACCACTAACAATATGATCGTTACTGAAATACTGCAATATATCAACTTTGCAAAACAGGTAGGGCAACACTCCTGATGTTTGACAAACACCTCATTTCCAAATGCAAGAAACACTAAAGAAATGCTCTTTATTATAGCACCTGTTTCTCTAAGGTTGAATGGAGAGTCCCCACAAAGATATAATTACAAACCTGTGTGTGTCGGGTGGGGGGTGCTACAAATGGAAATGTAGAAGACGCTTGACTTTCTCATTAGATGAAAGACGGCTATCATACCACAGGTCGAGATGTCAGCAGTGCGTCACCCCATAGGTAGGGCTGGGTTTAGGGGTGAGATTCCTGTGTGCCATTGGATGCAGTCAGGGCTTCTGTGGTGGGTAGTTTCACATCTGCCTCTCCGAAATATAGGCTCGTAAATGTGGATGGAGTGTTTTTTACGTGCTCTTAGAAACCACGTTAGCAATTAAATGTAAGCAGCCTTGGACTGGCAGGGGAGTTTATAAAGGGAGGTCATCTGTAAACCATATGGACAGGGGGCTGCAGGGGAACTGCACAGCAAAGCCCACCACCGTCTGCAGGGGAACTGCACAGAGAAACCCACCACCATCTGCAGGGGAACTGCACAGCAAAGCCCACCACCATCTGCAGGGGAACTGCACAGCAAAGCCCACCACCATCAGCAGGCGAACTGCATAGAGAAACCCACCACCATCTGCAGGGGAACTGCACAGAGAAACCCACCACCTTCTGCAGAGGAACTGCACAGAGAAACCTACCACCGTCTGCAGGGGAACTGCATAGAGAAACCCACCACCTTCTGCAGAGGAAATGCACNCACACACACACCTATCATTACACTCCCCCCACCCTTAGAACAGACTCGTCCTCGAGTCACATCATCTCATAGTCCTTAGCCCATGCTGGTGGCCTCCTCTGACGTCCCAGACGAGTCTTCTGGACTGGAGCCCCCTCGTTCCGTTCTTGTTCCTTAGCCCGACACGTAGCAGCAGGCCCATCGCTGTACAGCTGTAAAGGGTCCTTACGGGCTCTGCTCCGCCATGTTCGGGCAGGCTGGTCCCCTTCCCTCTGCTGTCCTGGTCCAATTGCACTTGCCTCTTCTGACTGATTCGCTGCCATTGCCCCCACTTCTGCCCCTCGTACCACCGCCTCCATCTCGCCACCCTTCCCCTCTGAGGGCAGTGTTTGCAGATAGCCACCACCAGGGGGGATAGCCCTTAACTCCGGCAGGGTACCAACAGGTACCACTCGTTCTCTATACTCCGGGTTGGGAGCCTCTGTTACAGTAGAGAGAAAAGGTTTAAGTCGATTAAAATGCACCACCACCTCATTCCCACCTTCCACTGGTACCACTTGATACAACACCTCTGTTATCCTTTCCACCACCTTATATGGGCCCTTAAACCTTCTCTGTAACTTTGGACATAAACCCCTTCTTCTAGCCTTCCCCCGGACCCATACCAACTCCCCCTCTGAATAATACTGGACTTGCACTCTGAAGTCATACGCTTCCTTCTGCTTACCAGAAGCCCTTGCCTGATGACATTTTACTGCTTCCACCACTGTGGCCAATGTGTCCCACAGTCTAGCCACATATTCAGTTACAGAGGAAAACCGTTCCCCGCCATTGAGATTCAACATAACATCCACTGGCAACACTATCTCTTGCCCAAAAATAACCTTATATGGTGTAAACCCAGTACTGGAGTGAATACTACTCCTATAAGCCATCATCACATAAGGTAACAGCAGATCCCAATTGGATTGGTTTTCCTCTACAAAGAGGGACAACATTGACAACAATGTCCTGTTAAACCTTTCAATCATCCCATCCGACTGGGGGTGGTAAGCTGATGTCCTAGTCTTTTGAATGTTCAACAATTGACACACTTCTTTGAAGAGATTTGATTCAAAATTTCGACCCTGATCTGTATGAATAGAGCGAGGGGCCCCAAAGCGACAGACCCA